CATGGTTTTTGTACATCCTAGAGAACAGGGGCTATGGGCTCTGTATTTCATCCTAGCAATAGCATTTGATAAATGGCTCAAAATCCCAAGTCTTCAAATACCCTCATACTGAAGATACTTTGTGCTTGCAAAGTGGCCGCTGCGATGAACAGACTGCAAGAGGGGGACCTGGGAATATCACCTTGGGCCAGTTTTCTTCCTGCGTCCCAGCTGTTTCACTGTAAGATTAGCATTTAAAGGGACCCTGACCAGAATCTGCGGGCATGAAGTACTCAGTCAGCATTTGCTGACACACGAGGGGACAGAGACAGGGCCTGAAATCAGGAAGCCGTGGGAAAAGGAACATTTGAGAAAAGGCCCACCAGCGTCATCGGCAGCTGGGATAGAGTCAGTCGGGGGTAAGGGACAAAGGGTTTGGACGCAGGAGAAAAACAAGCACGTTTCTGAGGTTGTCAACTGGAGACCTGAGTGCCTGGAAATATGTAGGTATGGTTTGCATCATCGCAACAATGGGAGAAGGCAGCTGCTACCGGCTACCGTGAGTGGTGGCAGAGACGCTAAGCTCCCCACGAGGAACTGGACAGTCGCACACCGGTGCCGTCCACGCGGCCCAGGAGCACCAGTGAGGGGCGCCGGCCAGGCTGGGGGGCATCCGCTTCCTTCCTTGACCCAGGGGCCAGAGTGGGGGCCAGGGGCCGGCTGGGTGGGTTGAGAAGGAAAGCAACGAGGCAGGACCACTAGCCCATCAGCTACACAGTCCACCCTCTGCATGCAGTCTGTTCCGAAGTCAGCCCGAGTCGTAAAACGTCTAACTGCCCGGGACTTCCCTGGTGGTCCAGCGGCTAAGACTCCACACTCCCAACACAGGGGCCCAGGTCCCCTCCCTGGTCCAGGAACTAGATCCCACATGCCACAGCTAAGACCCCACACAGCCAAATAAGTAAAAATATTTTTTTTTAGAAAGACAAACAAACCAAACTCCTACAAACTGCCTGACTCCAAAATGGCCCATTCTGGATCTGTTAGGGTAATTGCACTTTCCCTTTGTGTATTCCCTGATGCCTCAGTTGGTACAGAATCCGCCTGCCCTGGGTCGGGAAGATCCCCTGGAGAAGGGAAAGGCTACCCACTCCAGTATTCCGGCCTGGAGAATCCCACGGACCATATGGTACATGGGGTCGCAAAGAGTCGGTCACGACTGAGCAGCTTTCCCTTCACTTCACTTTGTGTGTGAGTCGCTCAGTCGTGTCCAGCACTTTGCCACCCCGTGGACCGTAGCCCCACAGGCTGCTCTGTCCTTGGGATTCTCCAGGCGAGAACACTGGAGTGGGTTGCCATGCCCTCCTCCTGGGGATCTTCCCGACTTAGGGATCGAACACGGGTCTTCGGCATTGCAGGTGGATTTTTTACCACTGAGCCACCAGGGAAGCCCAGTACTTTCCCTTTAACAAACGCTAATGAGTAATTAAACCTCCTTGAAGGATCCACAGCTCTAGAGTCGCATGGCTGAACAACTCCTCACCACTAGAGGCTGTGGGCCCTGTGGGTTCAATGCCTCCCTGTTCCCTTAGGGACCCTGGTCTCCCACTGGTTTACTTGAGGGGGGGTCCCAGGCTCCGCCGGTCACCGTTGTCCGACGTAAACTCCAGAAATCAGAGACCTGTCTACTGTTTTCCCCACAACATCCCCCAGCCCAGAGAACAAGGGCCGGCACACAGTGAGTGCCCAGTAAACATTTTCACACATGAATGAGGTAGTGGAAAGGGCATAATCTGAGGAGGCAGAGCCAGGTGGACTATTGATAAGCTGTGTAGCCCTGAATAAGTCATTTAACTCTTCTAAGCCTTTGGTTCTTCATCTGTGAAGCAGAGGAACAATAGCCACCTTCCAGGGCTTTAGGGCAGACTCAGATGATGCATGGGAGACATCAGCATGGGACGTTTACTTCTCTGTAGGTTCTTGGAAAATGGGAACTGACACTGTATCATTATTATTAATAACGACAGCTCACGCTGTAGCCCACGCACCTCCCGCAACCGCAAGCTTCACATAAAAGTGAGGCAGTTTGGTTCAGCTTGTCCTCTGCAAGCTACTAGTTAATAACTAACACAGCAATAGCCTCTTCTCGAAACATGACGCTTCTGCAGTTTTCCTTCAAAGAGCTGCATGCAGAGCGTGATCCGTCAAGTCACTGTCTCCAAAGCCTCTCACAAAGCCTCGGTGAAGGGGTGTGAGCCAGGACGACACAGTAACGGGTCAAGGAGACCCAGCCTGTGTGCGGGCAGTTCTGGTTCAGCCCTGGCCCAAACTGTTGCGGTCTGACTCTGATTTGGCCTCCTGATTCCTGAGCCTGTTCACTAAGGAAGACCCAATAGGCCACAGTGGTTGCAAGCATGGAATCCGGAGCCTCCCAGTCTGCCAAGGTTCAAAGCTTGGCATCACCACTCTTAACTGTGCGACCTTGGGCAAGTTACTTAACTACCTGAAACCTCAGTGTTCTCACCTGGAAAACGGGAGACAACAGCAGTACCTCCCTGGGGAAAGAGGGGAAGAAAGGCAGAGGTCGTATTTCTCTTGGTTTTATAAAAATCATGGACATCAAGGAACCCATTTGCAGAAACACTATGGAGACTATCTTTCCCACGTTCTCCCATTTTTATTGATCATACAGTCATCTGGAACCCTCTCTGAAGGGTGGAGGAAAGAGCTTTGCTGGTGATACACTGGCTGTCTCTACAGAAACATGAGCAAAAGGCTTGACACATGGTAGGTCTTCAAGAAATATCTGTTGAAAGACTGAAGAAGTGATTCAGAAGCTGAAAAAGTGTGGCAGTCCATCATACCTGTTTGGCCTAAGAAACCAGAGGCAAACTAAGGTGAGGAAAGATCTTGATATTTTTGAAACCAAGACCTGGAATCTATATCTATTCTTAACACCAATCTGTTCTTAAGGCTCCCTTTTTCTCCCCCTGACCAGGGATCAAACCCACCCGTGTCCCCTGAACACTGGCAGGCGGATGCTCAACCACTAGACCACCAGGGCACTCCGAGCATTACTCGTGGCGTCAGAGTGATTAGAAGATGTGAAGGAAGCGGGAGAGCATGGTGAAACATCGGATCAGAAACAACTGCAACTCCGACTGCTTCTTCGAGCCAAGCCCTCCAAGGCCTACTCCCCACTAAGAAGCACCCATCATTTTCTGCGCATTTTGCCATCTGCATCTCTCCCCTTTGTGCGGACCCAAGCCCAGTCCCTGGGCCTTGCAGGCTCAGATCTTCTTATCTTCATCCTCCATGAGAAACACACAAGGTACCTTCTTCAAGAAAGTCCCTTGGGCTGCCCGTCCTGTGAGATCTGGGCTCTGCCCTGGAGAACCGCCTTTCCCCCGGGGACAGCACATCATTCTCCCCCCAAACTCAGCACGTGGGTCACCTGTGGGCAGCACCGCCTCTCGGCTGCCCTTTCACCAAGCGCCCTACAGCGCACTTCGCAGAAAATCACCCCGTTCCTTCTATAGTCGGCTGAGACCTCCACTGTGAACCGAGAGCTTGGCTATTATGCGTGTGAATAATTTGAGCTTCAAGTGCAGCCTTGGCACGCCTGAGATCAAATAATTACCCGAAAGTTACCCAGCTGCCCTCAGCGTGCGCCGGCTACTTTGTCTTGGGTGTGGAGCTCTCTTGGCTGGCTCCGTGTGAGCCTCGGAGAGCTCAGCCGTCAGGACGCCCCCAGGTCCCAGTCAGTGATTACGGCGGAAAGTTTTGGCTGATCTGGCCCTGGAGAAGATAAAGCCCTTAAATAGAGATTAGCCACGCTCATTCCAGCCCCACTCACAGCCAAGAGTCAAAGTCGGTATTTGCTGAGTGGAAAAGGACAAAAGGAAACAAATTTCGTTTGCAAGCTCTCCAAACAGACCAGAAACAGTAATTCCCCGCTGCTTCCTCTGTGTGCCTCCTCTCGTAGGAAGACTAAGCTAATACTGCCTGCTCAGAGGGACTGTCAACACTGGGGTCTCTGGATCACAGACCATCAGCCCGCTCTCCCAAGAGGGTGTTCAGCAAAGAGCTGTGTGCAGGATGGCTCCTTTAAAAGAGCGACAGCTCCCTCCAAAAAGCAGGGGTCACATCCCTGGTGGCCCAGTGGTTAAGACTCTGTGCTTCCACTGCAGGAAGCAGGGGTTCAGTCCCTAGTTGGGGAACCAGCATGCCACAAAATGCACTCCAAAAAACCATTTTTTAAAGGTGACAGGTGGTGCTCGTGGTAAAGAACCTGACTGCCAATGCAGGAGATGCAGGGTCCATCCCTGGGTCGGGAAGATCCCCTGGAGGAGGACATGGCAACCCACCCCAGTCTTCTTGCCTGGAGAATCCCCATGGACAGAGGAGCCTGGTGGGCTACAGTCCATGGGGTCACAAAGAGTCGGACACGACTGAAGCGACTTAGCACGTAGCGCATGTGATGACTTAAAGTGACAGTGACACTGCTGCTATTTTAGACCAGTGAAGCTTGAGAAACCTTAGAAAGAAAACCCCTAAACTATTGCATGACAGCGGCTGAGGAGGTGGCTCATAAAAAGCACCCTCTTAATCAGAGTGAATTTAAGTCCGCACTCAAATCACTAGCCTCTGGTGTAGCACGACAGTGTATTTGTTCGGAAAGCTACCTTGGGGTTTTCGAGGCCATCGTCCAGTCCAGCCTTACCTTCCACCCAAAGCATCTCCCTACGTGGTCTGCACACCTCTCGGCCAGAAGCACGTCCCTCCTCACCTCCATCCACCACGGCTTTCCTGGCCCAAGTGCCAACTGGAGGGCAGGCGGGGCCATCACAACCATCATGACACCCGGAAGCCTTTGGTTGGAAGGAAACTGCCTGTGTGGTATCAGAGTCACCCCCGACAGTTGCCTCCATCGACCTGCATTCAGCGACCTGTGACCGAGGCTGGACAAACAGCCCGGCGGGGACTGTGTGACGCGCGAGGCGGACACAGGTCCTCGTAAGATGACCTACGGCTCAGAACCGTCAGCCCCACAGCGGTAGGGGTGTGTGTGTGTGAGAGAGGGTGTGTGTGTGTGTGTGCGTGAGAGTGTGTGTGAGTGTGAGTGAGAATGTGTATGTGAGTGTGTGTGTGAGTGTGTGAGTGTCTGTGTGTGTGAGAGTGTGTGAGAGTGTGTGTGTGTGTGTGTGTGAGTGAATGTGTGTGAGTGTGTGTGTTTCTGTGAGTGTGAGTGTTGGTGTGCGTGTGTATCTGAGTGTGTATGAGTGTGTGTGTGTGTGAGTGTTTCTGTGAGTGTATGTATGAGTGTGTGTGTGAGTGTATGTGTGATTGTGAGTGTGTATGAGAATGTGTATGTGTGAGTGTGTGTGAGTGTTTCTGTGAGTGTGAGTATGTATGAGTGTGTGTGTGAGTGTATGTGTGATTGTGAGTGTGTGTGTGAGAATGTGTATGTGTGAGTGTGTGTGAGTGTTTCTGTGAGTGTGAGTATGTATGAGTGTGTGTGTGAGTGTATGTGTGAGTGTGAGTGTGTGTGTGAGAGTGTGTGTCTGTGCTCAGTTGCGTTGGACTTTCTGCCACTCCATGGATGCAGCCCGCCAGGCTCCTCTGTCCACGGGATTTCCCGGGCAAGAATACTGGAGTGGGCTGCCATTTCCTCCTCCAGGGCACCTTCAGGACCCAGGGATCAAACCCGCGTCTCTTGTGTCTCCTGCACTGGCAGGCAGGTTCTTTCTTGCCTGGGAGGAGGGGAAGACTGCAGACTCTGCCCAACACGGCTACGGGAAGCTGAAAGGACCCCAGCAATCCAGTCCAGGCGGGAACTCCACTGGGAGCTCACAGCACACTTCTCTGGGGTCCACTGTCCACTTTCCTTCTGTAGAAAGCCAAGCTACTTCTTGATGGGGAGGTGGGGGGAGCAGGCTGGGGGACTTCTTTGTCTTGCATTTCATTCTAAAAGACAGGGACATCCCAGTTAGACCTTCCTCGCTGAGCGTTCCAGAGGGGCAGTGAAGGCTGTGTCTAACAGGGTCGCTGCCCTAGAACGACAAGCTCAAAAGGTCAGAGACAAGTACTAGATGTTTTGATGAAAAGCGCACATTCCTTTTCCAGTGGATGGGTGCTATTTAGTCTGTGTGGAACCAGTAATCAACAGGCATCTCTCTCCCGCTTCAAACTGAAGGAAACATCTGAATAGCGTCCAACACCTCGTCTCCTCGTGTACAACAAATGTCAATGATATGCAAACACAGGCACTTTGCGGTGAAGCTGGTTTGTCAGAGTGGATGGTGCACAGGCTTCTCTTCTTGCTGGTTACTCTGTGCTCTGCCTGGGAGGGGGCCTCACAGGGCAGCACCCAGGAGCCTCTCCGGGTCAGATCTGCACACAGTGAACAGAGCCCTTGTTGCTCCAAAGAATGGATCACACAGAAAATAAATTAAATAGAGTTATCAATCAATTACAGAGTTTCCCAGGTGGCTGAGTGCTAAAGAATCCGCCTGCCAGTCAGGAGACGGTTCGATCCCTGGGTCGGGAAGATCCCCTGGAGGAGGAAATGGCACCCCCCTCCAGTGTTCTTGCCTGGAGAATCCCATGGACAGAGGAGCCTGGCGGGATACAGTCCATGGGGTCGCAAAAGAGCCGGATAGGACTTAGAAACTAAAGAACATCAACGACAATCAATCAATTACAGTCATTCTCAGAGGTCCCACCTCAGCTACGCAGGAGGTGATCTGCAAAGAGGCAAGGACCCCAGACCCTCAGGGCCCCTCATTCTCGAAGCCTGCTGACCTTCCCTGGCCAACTTCACTCCTTTTCGGCCTCTGGCACGTGCAGGATGGTTCATCCTTTCTCTCATCCAGACCTCCCCAGCTCACCCCAACACGCTCTCTGGACGGCCTTCCTAGACCAGTCACTGAATCCCCTCGACACTCTCTGCTTCTGTACCATTCATCCTGTATGTTCAGAATGCAACAGGGAACCGATTTGTGGTAGGTGTTCGATTAACATTCACTGAATAAGTCAATCAGATATTCCTGGAACCATGAGCAAACTAAGTTTAAAAGAGATGACGAAATGTGCACATTAAAAATGTAACATGCAGAAACTGACAGAACGCTGTAAAGTGACCACACTCCAATAAAAATTTTTAAAAAAAGAAAAACAATGTTAACACACACAGAGGCAAGTCCTTCATATGCAACGAATACCTATCAAAGCTGGTAAAGTCCTCCAAATAAGGTTTGTCTAATGAATAGAATTGTAGCCATGTTGATTTTCTGGTTTTAATGATGTACTAAAGTTATGATTTTATTACAGAGGATGCCAGAGGAAGGATGCAAGGATCTTTGCGATACTGTTTTTGCAGCTTCCATGTCTGTGGTTATTTCCAAAAAAAAAGGTTCATAAGAAAACCAAACAAAAAAGGCAAGAAATTGCTGGCACCAGATGGGCCCCTGGGGAGAGGGGCGGCAGCCTCCCCGCTGCGAGGACCCCATCATGCGCCTGGCTCCCACCTGGCGCTCCAGGTGAGGGACCATCTTTCCTTCCGGCTCCCTTCCCTCCCTCGGGTCCCAGCCGCAACGTCCCCCAGGGAGTGTGTGCCCCACCAGCCCCACAGCCGCTTTCTTCAGCGTGCGCACTCCCGCCAGTGCCCGGGGCGCGATTAGACGCCTGCTGTCTGCTGCTCGCCTGCTCTTCCCACCAGGATGCAGGTGCCAGAGGGCAAGGACGCGCGCTCTGCGCTTCCCGCCGTGTCCACCCCGGCCCGCGGCGGGCTCTGCGGCGCTCGGTCGCTCAGTCGTGTCCGGCTCTCGACCGCCCCACGGACTGCAGCCCGCCAGCGTCCTCTGTCCATGGGGTTCTCCAGGCAAGAGTACTGGAGTGGGTTGCCGTTTCCTTCTCCGGGGGCTCTTCCCCCGGAACTCAGAGCTCCCGCACTGCAGGGGGCTCTTTACTGTCGGAGCCGCCAGGGGCGCCCCTGCTACTTACATGTTTTTAAGTGAATAATGGATCATTAACTAATAAAGAAATTGTATCAGAAACTGATGCTGAGCAATGCTACTAGCCTTAAAGTCTTTCTAATAAAAATAATAAAAATAAAAAGCAAGTCCTTCACAAGATAAAGCACTTTATCTAAGACTCGTTGCAAATGACTTAAACATACACTGTGCTGTCTGAAGTAGGCGCCCAAAAGAAGCAGATACCCCCAGGGCCGGTGCAGTCAGGAAAGACGTCCGGGGGTAACCGTCTGGACAGACGTGAAAAGATGCATAGGCTGTTAGAAGAAGTCAGACTAGGAAAGGGGAACTCAGGCTGTCTCAGAGGTGAGAACTAGTATGAAGGAGAACCTTACTGGCATCCGGTCCCACACCTGTCCTTGTAGGAAGCTGGTGAACTACCAGGAGCAGCGCTGGGGTTAAGCCAAACGGCAGAGACAGGCCCTGTCTGATAAAATAAGATCAGCTCTCTGTCTGATAAAATAAGATCTGTAAACATCTACTTTTCTCATGCATGACTGCTTCCTGATTGTACGGCGGGGAGCTTCATAGTTCTGAATTCTTGGTGCCAAAGAAGAGCCAGGAGGCTATTTAAAATTGATCAGGGAGACGGGAGGGAGGTCAAGAGGGAGGGTACATAGGGCTGACTCATGGTGACATATGGCAGAGACCAACACCATACTGTAAAGCGATTACCTTCCAATTCAAAACAATTTAATTTTTTTTTAAAAATGTTAAGCAAAACAAAGAAAAAGAAAAAGTTAAAAAAAAATAAAATTGATCAAAGGAAAGCAGGAGCCTTTGCCCCTTTGGGGCAAACCCCTCCATTGTGGGGAGGGCCACTTTGGTGAGCTCTCCTGATCAGGCAGACAGAAGTCAAGTTCCTCCTCTTCTTCCTTACGGGGACCCCTGAGGTCGGAAAATGCATCCAAGGTCAAATGTATCCTACTGGGATGTTAAGGAATCTGGTTAACGCTGTCGAAAGTCACCTCATGAGCGATACGTTCCTACATAATCAGTTTCTTCTCTCATGCCCACCACCCAGCTGAACAAGTCCTGCTGGAGAAGAGACCTGGGAAAGCTTATTAGGAACTTCTAGGAGGGCGTGTTTGAGACTAAAACTCTGCACCCACTCCTCATTTCAGAAAGCCACAGGTTGGGTGGTCTCCAAGCGACGTGGCACCTGCTCCAAGGCCACAGAAGCCTGGGGCCGCCCTGATGGTTTTCTGTGGCCCAGCGCCTGGGGCATCAGAGATGCAGGGGCAAGAATCCCCGCCCACTGCCCCTGATGCATTCAGTGCAAACGGAGCCCATCCAGTTTCCCCGGGTGCCATGAGCTGAGTGGGCAGGAAAGAATAAGGAAGGATTGCGGATGGGAGAAGCGGACAGGGGAGTCACAGGTGCGGCTCTCTGATGCCGTCACCCCGCCGTTCCCAGCCTGCCCCGGCTCCCAGCCCCACGGAGCTCCTGTCCTAACCTGGAGCTTGAAGGCCGCTCAGGGCCTACTCTTCTCGAACGCAGACTTCCACTCACCCTCCTGGCCCACTGAAAGGCCATCCTGGCATCATACACACTTGACCACAGTGTTCAGATGCCTTCCAGCGACACCTGGAAGGCTTCTGAGTGGTTCCTCCTTCCCAGGAACCTTTGCAGAGAAGGCTCCCTTCACTCAGTTTACGGACTTTACTCTTCAGTGAGTTCAGCAAGATGGCTGGAGGAGGTGAGTATACACCATTGACCACATGCAAAAGGGGCTCCCTGAAACTCAACAGATTGAAGCACTGCCAGCACTGTGAAGAGTGATCTAACACCTCCAACCTGAGCTGTTTGTCATTTCGGGGACCGAGAGGTCACATTCCATTCACTCCTGCAGGTGAAGATCTGCTGGTGCTACAGACTGGAGGACATTCCTGGGATTTTCCACTTAAATCTCAACTCTGGAGCTACCAAGATGTGGGAGATGTAGAGTATCACTCTGGCTTGATCGAGAGATTCGCTTTACTATTTTTTCCCCCATTTAAAGTGTACATTTTAATGGTTTTTAGTATATTCACAAATACATGCATCCATCACCACAGGTAAGATTAGTTTTAAATGTTACTCCAGTTTTTATGGAAAACACAGTTATTCCAGTGTTTTATGGAAAACACTCCAGTTCGTGCAGTGTTATTTCTAAGGGCTGATTATCTGAGCAGGGTATTAGGGTGGTCCTCATCTCATTCACTTGATTCATTTTTGTAAATGATGCACACACACGCACGCACGCACACGTTTCTGCTGGCTGCCCTGGAATGAGTCTCAATGTGAAGACCAGCGAGCACCGAGGCAGGGAGGAGTCAGCCAAGGCCTTACTCCCCCAATCTCCACCCCAAACTCAGGAGCCTCCAGACTCCAGCAGCTTCCCAGCGTCTCTGGACCACCACCTCCACTTCTTTTTCCTCCCTTTCATCTCGATGATTTACTAGATCATTTCTAAATGCAGAAACATGTCAGAAAATGTAAATGGCCCCATCACACCACCTGAACAAAGCAGGCCCACGTAAAATCTTAAAAAGAAACTGACAGATGCACCCCTGGTTTGGGCTTTTTTGTTTTGCTGTTTTTTAAGACAAAACAATACAGGAATGTACTGCCTTCCCTCCTACGTTGAAGCCTCAGCCCTCTCTACCCTCATCTTATGTATCCTGCCAAAAATAAGTATAAAAATATAAATACATACATGCATACACATATATGACTTGGATTTTTTAACATAAATAGGACTCCACATTCCTGAAATTTGCTTCCCCCCCCCCACTTAAAAATGGTCTGAATAATGGTGTACCCCTCACTCCCAAATCCTAACATCCAATGTGACGGCATTTGGAGGTGATGCCTTTGGGACATGATTAAGTAACAAGAATGGATCCCTCATGAGTGGCAGCAGCGCCCTGACAAAACACCCTACACCACACTCTAGGGCTTCCCCCATGGCCTAGTGGTAAAGAATCCGCCTGCCAATGCAGGAGACGCAGCAGACATGGGCTCGTTCCCTGAGTGGGAAGATTCTCTGGAGGAAGAAATGGCAACCCACTCCAGTATTCTTGCCTGGAAAATCCCAAGGACGGAGGAGCCTGGCGGGCTACAGTTTATGGGATCACAGAGCCAGACAGGACAACAAGAGAGCTTCCCAGCCTCTTCCACCAGATGAACACAGAAACCTGCATCCAGAAGAGGGTCCTCACTAGACCGTGCTGATACCCTGACCTCAGACTTCCAGGCTCCAGAGCCCGGAGAAATACACTCCTGTTGCTTATAAGCCACCTAGCCCATGGTGTTTTACGACAGCAGCTTGAACAAACTACGACAGAAGGCAATGAACCAAGGTCTTAAACCAGAATACTTGCTTTGCACTCCCTCCACCATGCTACTTTCTGATTACGTCATGATCTCAGCAGGTAATTTAACCTCACTGCACCACAGCATTTTCATGTGTAAAATGGAAACAGGTGAGTCAATACACGTCAACTTCTCAGAATGTAAACAGCACGCAAAAACATGTATTATTGTTACTTATCACCATTACTTTGGCCATCCAAGGTGAAGAGACAATGCATTAGGAAAGACCCTGATGCTGGGAAAGATTGAGGGCAGGAGGAGAAGGGGACAAAAGAGGATGAGATGGTTGGATGGCATCACCGACTCGATGGACATGAGTTTGGGTAAACTCCAGGAGTTGGTGATGGACAGGGAGGCCTGGCGTGCTACAGTCCATGGGGTCGCAAAGAGTCGGACACGACTGAGTGACTAAACCGAACTGCTCCTTGCTCCCAAATATTCCTGAAGCCCCCCAGCTCACACCCAGGCCCACCAGAGCCAGGCTGGTCAGCATGACACAGACCAAGTCAAGTTTTCAACTTGATTGCGCAAAAAAACCCATATTTCATAAGCATTTTTTATACACCAGCTAAACTAGATGTTCAGCAAAGAGAACATACAGTAACTTCACATTTTTTTGGCAAATTAGGAAGCCCCATTCTACTTGCTGGAATTTCTCAGCCAACTGATACTCTTCAGACATTAGAATTAAAAAATAAATATGGCCATCTTGAAGGAAGTTCAGTTTAGTTCCGTCCCTCAGTCATGTCCGACTCTTTGTGACCCCATGAACCGCAGCACGCCAGGCCTCCCTGTCCATCACCAACTCCTGGAGTTTACTCAAACTCATGTCCATTGAGTCAGTGATGCCATCCAACCATCTCATCCTGTCGTCCCCTTCTCCCGCCTTCCTTTCCCAGCATTAGGGTCTTATCCAGTGAGTCAGCTCTTCGCATCAGGTGGCCAAAGTATTGGAGTTTCAGCTTTAGCATCAGTCCTTCCAATGAATATTCAGGACTGATTTCCTTTGGGATTAAGACTGGCTGGATCTCCTTGCAGTTCAAGGGAACTCTCAAGAGTCTTCTCCAACACCACAGTTCAAAAGCACCAATTCTTCAGTGCTCAGCTTTCTTTATAGGCCAACTCTCATATCCATACATGACTACTGGAAAAACCATAGCTTTGACAAGACAGACCTTTGTTGGCAAAGTAATGTCTCTGCTTTTTAATATGCCATCTAGGTTCATAACATCGTATGGGAGGCAGTGATCAAGACCATCCCCAAGAAAAAGAAATGCAAAAAGGCAAAATGGTTGTCTGAGGAGGCATTACAAATAGTTGAGAAAAGAAAGGAAGCTAAACGCAAAGGAGAAAAGGAAAGATTTTGAAGGGACTCATCCTATAATTATTATGTATTTTCCTACTACTTTCTTTTTAAAAAAAGGTAAATACAGTCCAACCTGCCTCCTTATCTCACTGCCACCATCACAAACACTGATTTATCCTTCTAAGTCTAGAATCCTCAGAACCTGTTCTACCACTTTAGCTTTGAGACCTTAGGTGAATTATTTAACCTCTTTGTGCCTAAGTTTTCTTGGGACTCAGGCAACCAAATTAATTAAGAGTATGGCTACATTTACAACACAAAACAAGCAATGATCAACTTAAAGTTTAGTGTACAGATTGGAGGAAAACTCTTGTTCTCTGAGATATTTTTTGTTTCTCCCTAACTCCAGGGAAGATCCCCTGGAGAAGGAGATGGCAACCTACTCCAGTATTCTTGCCTGGAGAATTCCATGAACAGAGGAGCCTAGTGAGCTACTGTCCAAGGGGTCACAGGGAGTCGGATACGACTGAAGTGACTTAGCACTGCACAACTCCTGGCTATATTCCAGAGAGCTGGGTCTGCTGGCTCCGCAAGGCTCTCTTCTGTGGATATAAATTCCTTGTGCGGCCTTGAAGAGCATAACCAAGGCCCTGCTGGAAATCCTTACACCAATAACCCAAACCCAGAGCCAAGTGTTCAGTTCCAACAGGCAGGCTTGAAGCCGACACCCTGGATCAGACCGGCAGAGAGAGACAGAAGACGCCGAAAAGACGAGGCAAGGACGATGGGAGCCTCTGGGAGCCGGGAGTGAGGAACAACCTCCCGCCATGCGCCTTACGCACAGAGCAAGAGCCCAACCCAGGGGGCTTCGTCTCTGCAAGAAGAAATCTTCAGATGCCCATGAAGGAAAATGAAGTATCAAGGATGGCTTTCAAACACTGAGACAGTCCACAGTGAATGCCCAAAAGGGGAAACCAAGGAATGTGGCTGTCCAGAAGGTTGGTGCAGGAGGAGCTGAGAGGGGCCCAGGGCTGGCCAAAGCGGGGACAGCTGGAGGCTGCCCAGATGGCCCACCTGCAAACAAGCACAGCAAAGGCTTGCTCAGGTAGCCTATGCTGTGTGAGAGACGGGGATCTGGGAGGCCAGAGCCCCTGGCCGCTCCCATCCAGTTTATGGGAAGGACAGTGCTGAAGGGCTGAAGCAAGTCCATTTCAGGTGACTGACCCATTTCTATGAAGGATGCAAAGAATTCTCTCATAAGCTCTGCTCATTTGCTTCTGTTGAGCTAGGGTTTTAGAGTTCTATCAATAATATTGAGGCATCCCAGGTGGCACAGTGGTAAAGAATCTGCCTGCCAATGCAGGATTCGTAGGTTCTATCCCTGGGTTGGGAAGATCCACCAGAGAAGGAAACAGCAACCCACTCCAGTCTCCTTGCCCGGAAAATCCCATGGACAGAGGAGCCTGGTGGGCTACAGTCCATACAGTCGCAGAGTCAGATATGACAGAGCAACTGAGCACACATCAATAATATTGAAGCTATATACGACGGGCATCATAAAGCTGTCTATAAATAGTTCAGCTCTCTCTCCTTCAAGTGCACAATTATACAACATTTTCCCCACTTTGTTGAAGTTAGGTGGGAGCTAGATTTGGCCAGTAAAATGTGAGTGGATGTGACATATGTCACTCCTGGACAAATGTAAGAGCCAGCAAGAGCTTTGCTAGTTTCTCCTTTTTCTCAGCCTTGGTGATGGGGCGTGTTCCCTCGCCTCCAGCCTCCATCTGGGAGTGAGGATGAGGATGACTTAGACCAGAGTCCCCCAGCCAAGCTCAATAGATACACTGGATGAGCAAGAAACAGTATCTTCATTGTTTTATGCCCCTTAGTTTGGGGGGTTATCTGTTACTTAGTTTGGGGGATATCTGTTACTCCATAACCTAGTCTACCCGCAGTGACACAAACGCTTCACTTAGTCACCAGATCGCGTTGTTGCTGCTGTTGTCGTTCAGTCACTAAGCCACGTCCGACCCTGCGATCCACGGACCGCAGCACGCCAGGCCTCCCTGTCCTCCGCTGTCTCCCAGAGTTTGCCCAAGTTCACGTCCACCGAGTTGCTGATGCCATCCAGCCGTCTCATCCTCTGTTGATCCCTTCTCCTCCCGCCTTCACTCTTTCCCAGAATCGGGATCTTTTCCAATGAGTTGGCTCTTTGCATCAAGTGGCCAAAGTACTGAAGCTTCAGCTTTATTACCAGATCATGACCTTCTACTGAACTGGTAACATGCTGTATTTCCAGAGGGTTTGCAGTACTAGGAATCCAGCTGTTTATTACAGATGTAGACACAGTTTTTAATTATGAGAAACCAAACTCCTTTCCAAAAGTTCAATCCCTGGTCTGGGAACTAAAATCCCACAAGTGGCACAGTGGGGCCAAAAAATAAATAAAAACAGCTCTCAAACAATCCCCTAAACTCTCCAATTCTTCTCCTGAGACCCCAGTGAACACTTCCCAGGTGCAACGCTAGATATTAAAACACGCTCCAAATGCATCATCCACCAGTACAGGAGAAGGTAATGATGTTAACAAACTCCAGTTTCTGCTGGAAGATTCCCCGCACAACACTCTTGATTGACACACGCGAGTACCCACCCAGATGTCAGGCAGGAATGGCCACACGCGAACTCCTTCGTCAGATCTCTTTCTCTGTTGACTCCAGAGTTTTAAAAGCCAGTTCCTTGAATATCACTATGGCTGACACCCCCAAAGTCACATTTGCCCCTATTTCTCATGACTCCAAAGTCATATTTCAATTCATCATTTTATTTACAAGAGGAATGGAGACAAAACTTGAGTACTCTCCTACACGAAAAGAATCCACAAGGTTTTCCTCCAGCAAATGGATCAAAACATATGTCTCACACAATTACAGTGTCATCCTGGAACTCTTGCTAAGCTGTGACCAATAAAACCTTCCCATTTCAGAACAACAGGTGCCAGAGACACAGATTCTGCAGATATGAAGCCACTGACTCAATCATTTGGGGTCAGATTTACTGTTTTAGCCATCATTATCTATTTCACTTATAAATCAGTATCAATCTAGTCATTTTAGTGATTAAAATAACTATGTGTGTGCTGTGTGCTTAGTCGCTCAGTCGTGTCCGACGCTTTGCGACCCCATGGACTGCAGCCCGCCAGGCTCCTCTGCCCATGGGATTCTCCAGGCTAGAACACTGGCGGGTTGCCATGCCCTCCTCCAGGGGATCTTCCCAACCCAGGGATCGAACCCAGGTCTCCTGCATTGCAGGCAGATTCTCTACCAGCTGAGCTACCAGGGAAGCCCCTGAATAATTATACTATGATCTAATTTCTTAGGTTGTTAAAATAACCAGATCAGAGTCACAGCTGGTTGAGTCAATAAAATGCCTGGAAATAAACATGAGGGGAAATGTACAGCCAACCCCCCGGATGTCAAGGCCAAAGAACCCGCCGACCACCCATATCCGCACCTTGAGCGTTACAGTTCATATCTAAATTCTGACTTACCAAGGTGCCCAGGGGCCAATCTCTAGGAACTTTGATGTGCATGTTGCAGAACCACTCGGATGTAACAGTCAATTAAATTATTAATGAAAGAACTATACAAATAAAACATCATGCTCTTTTATGCAGTAAGAATTATCATCGTAAGCAATGCAAATTGAATAATAAGAATCATCAGGGCAGTTTGGTGATAAGCTAACAATTTCCAGCAATCAGACCAAACATCTCTGCTCAAGCTGTTTAATAAAATAAATAGCAGGTTGTTGACATTTTTGTTCAGTTAAGCAACATACATCCAGAGGTTACTTACGGTGTGCTGGGTAAAAGAATTTCAAAAGAAGTGGAGACTGAATGGTATTAAAGAGGAACCACTCTTGACTTCCCTGGTGGTCCTGTGGTTAAGAAGCCACCTTCCAATGCAGGGGACACGGTTTCGATCCCTGGCTGGGGAACCAGTATTCCCACAGGCTGAGAGGCAACTCAACCCAGGCTACAACTATTAAACCCTCGCACTCCAGAGTCCGAGCACCACAGTGAAGCCCCAGCGAGGCCAAATAAGTACATGTATTTCTACAAAAATAGTAAAATGCTCATCAGATGTTTCAAAAACAAAAGAAGGGAACCACTTACAACAGGGGTGATTTAGATATTTTCATAAGAAATCAATGAATCCTATAAACTATCCCAGAATCAAATTATATCACTGGTCTATTTATACACACATTGCACATGTGTATTTACATATACATATGCCTTACAGGAATATACATATATATATATCAAAAACAGATTCTTATGACGTTTCAGGTATTTTCACGTGAGGGATAAAGTTAAGTGCCATACAAATAATAGGCTATCACTATTTAGAAGCATTTATCAAGTACCTAACTCCCTATCACATGCACACATACCACTCTGCAAAAAACAAAATGCACACCATCTCCTTATGTACCTTAGAGGACCCAGTGGAACACTCTATAAACCATGCAGTCCTCACCCTGAACTTAGCATTGCCCAATTTTCTTTCAGTTCACCTAAGACTGATTCACAAGAGAAGCTGTCCATTCACAGATCCAACTAACCACAGAGAAAATCTATTAAATTCTAATTGGCAAGTAATTTCGACCTTCCAGTAGCTACTGCAACCAATTCCCTGCCTCGTTTTGTGCACCTGGAAAAATATGCTTTCTCTCTGGGGTAATGACATCCTCTGGTAGTCAAGGAAAAAAGTCAAAGACAGTGAGGTCTCCGCAGCTCCCAGCAAGAATAAAGAAATGCAAAAAAAGTGTACTGAACTTACTTGCCGTGAGATGTGTTCATTTCACAAACCCACCTTCTCCTAGCGTCTGAGTGTTGGTTAAAAGTCCAGCCACTGAGAGGCCACGGCCTGGGCTTGGGCGTGTGTCCTGCCCTTTGCAGAGCGCCTTCCCTTCTTTCACCGTGAGCCGCCATATTAATGAGGGCAACTCGGACGCCATTCTCTTTCAAAGGGTATCAGCTTCAAAACAGATCTCCTCTTCACACTCTGGGAGACGGCCCTGCTCTGAGTTGCAATTATTCCTTTGAAGCTAACTCTCTCCTATTAAACCAAAAACCTCTCACCTGAGTTACGTGGCTTTCACCACTGATGGAGATATGGTGGTTTAGTTGCTAAGTCATGTCCAACTCTTGCAACCCCATGGACTATATCCCGCTAGGCTCCTCTGTCCATGGGATTCTCTGGGCAAGGATACTGAAGTGGGTTGCCATTTCCTTCTCCAGGGGATCTTCCTGACCCAGGAATCAAGCCTGGGTCTCCTGCATTGCAAGCAGCTTTGAGATAAGCACAAATCTGAATTTGAGCTCAGACGACTCCGTTCCTGGTCAACATCAAAATATCCATTCGGGGAGTTCACACGCATATACCAGAGTGAGAGTAAAATAAATGTGGACACAGAAATGTCCACTATAGGGAAAAAGCACAATACGGCACTTTTTGCCAAGAAGTAACAGCCCACCCTCTGCCTTTGCAGGGGGAATGCGGTCTGCCAGATTTCCACAAGGAGACAAAGGTGTGACTGTGTATTCTTTAATTTTTAACTTTAATCATTTTTTGGCCACACTGCACAGCATGCAAGATCTTCCTTCCCCAACCAGGGATCGAACTCACGCCCCCAGCAGTGGAAGTATGGAGTCCCCACCACTGGACCGCCAGGCAATTCCCAGACTGTGTATTCTTAAGCCAGTGCTGAGGACAAATCATTGTTCCAGAGGCCTTTATCTTCCCCTCCTTGAATGACGGAGAAGTCTTAATTGCTGCTACGTCCCTAACACGTGCCCACCTCCTGTTTGCTAAGCAGGATAAGCCAGAGGCTGTGCACCTCAAGAAAACAGGGAGACAGGACGGGAGCAGCTG